GGTTTAAAACCTGGACAACTTGCCATAATTGAATGAACCATGAATTCTGCTCTCTACCAGGAAATACTGAAGGAGAATGTCCAGCCATCAGTTGGTGACCTCATGCTCTTTTGGGTTATGCAGCAGGACAATGATCCAAAACACACCAGCAAGTCCACCTCTCATTGGCTCAAAAAAACCAAAATGAAGGTTTTGGAGTAGCCTAGTAAAAGTTCGGACTTAAATCCAATTGAGATGCTGTGGCATGATCTTAAACAGGCCATTGATGTTCAAAAACTCTCCAATGAGACTGAAATAAAGCAATTCTACACAGAAGAGTGGGCTGGAATTCTTCCACAGCAATCTGAAAGACTCATTGCCCGTTATCGCCAAGGGTTGATTGCAGTTGTTGCCGCCAAGGGTGGCACAGCCAGTTTTTAGGTTTTAGGGGAAATTACTTTTTCACACAGGACCATAAGGTTTGGACATCTTTTTCCCTTAATAAATGAAATCATTATTGAAAAACTGCATTTTGTATTTACTTGAGGGTAGACTCAGATTTGCACATAAAACACACAGGCTAGTGCACATGCAAGTAATATTCCACTTATTTCATCATCTGATCATATGTTTTTTTTTAGGACTTCAAAAAGGCATTGGTCTAAACTGTTAGTGCAAATGTAGAAATAACTTGGGGGATGCTCAAAAATTATTTTCTTCTGAGTCTGAAGCCCATGTTATGATGGAACTCTAAATGTACAATTTGACTACATACACTTTATTGCCAAAAGTATTGGGACACCCTTCCAAATCATTGGATTCAGGTGTTCCAATCACCTTCTTGGCCACGGGTGTAAAAAAAAAATCAAGAACCTAGGCATGCAGACTGCTTCTACAAACATTTGTGAAAGAGTGTGGCACTCTAAGGAGCTGAGAAAATTGAAGCGTGGTACCGTGATAGGTTGCCAACTGTGCAATAAGTCCATCCGTGAAATTTCCTTGCTAATAAATATTCCACGGTCAACTGTTAGTGGTATTATGGCAGAGTGGAAGCAACTGGGAAAAACAGAAACTCAGCCACGAAGTGGTAGCCCACGTAATATGACAGATCGGGGTCAGCGCATGCTGAAGCACTCAGTGTGCAGAAGTCAACAACTGTCTGCAGACTCAATTTCTAAAGACCTCCAAACTTTGTGTGGCCTTCAGATTAGCGCAACAGTGCGTAGAGCGCTTCATGGAATGGGTCTCCATGGCTAAGCAGCTGCTTTGAAACCTTACATCACCAAGTGCAATGCAAAGCGTTTGATGCAGTGGTGTAAAGCACACCGTCACTGGACTCAAGAACAGTGGAGAGGTGTTCTCTGGAGTAACAAATCACGCTTCTCTGCCTTGCAATATGTATGTGTCTAGATTTGTCGGTTGCCAGGAGAATGGTACTTGCCAGACTGCATTGTGCCAAGTGTAAAATTTGGTGGAGGGGGGATTACAGTGTGGGGTTGTTTTTCAGGGCTTGGGCTTGGTCCCTTATTTTCAGAGAAGGGACTTATTAAGGCATCAACATACCAAGACATTTTGGACAATTTCATGCCCCCAGTTTTGTGGGAACAGTTTGGGGATGGCCCCTTCCCGTTCCAACATGACTGCGCACCAATGCACAAAGCAGGGTCCATAAAGACATGGATGTGCGAGTTTGGGGTGGAAGAACTTGATTGGCCTGCACAGAGTCCTTACCTCAACCCTATAGAACACAATTGGGATGAATTGGAGTGGAGACTGCAAGCCAGGCCTTCTTGTTCAACTTCCATGCCTGACCTCACAAATGCGCTTCTGGAAGAATGGTCAAACATTCCCATAGACACACTCCTAAACCTTGTGGACAGCCTTCCCAGAAGAGTTGAAGCTGTTATAGCTGCAAAGGGTGGGCCAACTCAATATTCAACCCTACGAACTAAGACTGGGATGCCATTAAAGTCCATGTGCATTTAAAGGCAGGCGTCCCAATACTTTGGGAAATGTAGTGTATATTTTTTAGTTGTTTTGCTTGCTAAAGGATTTCTTATTCAGTTCCACCTTTTTTACAACTTAAAGCAGTACTCCATTTTTGTAATACTTTCAGAAGTGGAATGAGTTTTCTTCCCTCTCTTAAGAAAAGATTTGCTGAATCTTTGCTTCAGTGATTCTTCTTTTCCACGCTGTGCTCATCTGTAGTCTTGCTCGCCATGTTGCTTCCTGTGCAAAGGTTCCTTCTTCTTACATTTTCCCAAATGCAGATATATAGGCAGTATAGGATCTATAATGATACTAGGTAAATACAAATGATAAATAATTGTAACAAGCGGCACCTGATACCAAGGTATTTTCAATATTCACATCAACACATGTGCAGAGGTTTGCCATGGTGTTCAGTATTGCTGTTTCACTTATATGCAGTGTGATGACATGCGTCAGACAAAAAAAGTTTTCATTTTTTCATCTATTGACATGCATTATAAAGGCTTCTGATTGGAATGGCAGCCTATGTAAACATGTGGCAATGCACCTGACCAAAGGAAATTAAAAAAAATATGTGTGAAAGTGGAGCCAGTTTTAAGGAATCCAGTGATTGACAGGTTGTGTGTGCATATACAGTGCTCAGCATAAATCTGTATACCCCATTTGAAAAGTAAGATTTTAATCAATATATCAATGAACACAAGAACAATTTCCAAAATTTTGACAAAGCTGAGTTTTAGAACATTTATTTAGCTCTTTACATGAACATAAGGTTAAAAATAAAATTTGGATAACAAAATCTTCAGTTTTACTCAAATTGGTTGATGCAAAATTAAATGCACCCCCCAACAAAACCTACTATATCTAGTATTTTGTATGACCTCCATGATTTGTAAGGACAGCACTAAGTCTTCTAGGCATGGAATGAACAAGTTGGTGACGTATTGCAACATCAGTCTTTTTCCATTCTTCAAGAATTACCTCTTTTAGAGCCTGCATGCTGGATGGAGAGTGTTTCTTACTCAACTTCAGGTTCAGATAAGGAGACATACTTGGCCACTGAATCACTTTAACCCTGTTGTTCTTCAGAAATGCAACAGTGGCCTTAGATGTGTGTCTTGGATCATTGTCATGTTGGAAAAAGTGCACAACGACCAAGGGCATAGAGTGATGGTAGAATTTTCTCTTTCAATATAGAGCAATACATCTGTGAATTCATGATACCATCAATGATATGCAGCTCCCCGACACCAGTAACACTTATGCAGCCCCGTAGAAGGACACTGGCACCACCATGCTTCACTGTAGGCACTATGGATTTTTTTTTTGTACTCCCCACCTTTGCGACCCCATACAGTTTTGAAGCCATTAGTTCCAAAAACATTTATCTTGGTCTCATCACTCCAGAGAACAGAGTCCCAGTAGTCTTCTTTTTTGAGCATGTGCCCTAGTAAATTCTAGGTGTGCATGGGCTTTAGAAGAGGCTTCCTTCATGAACGACACCCATGCATGCCATTCCTCTGCAGTGTATGCCATATTGTGTTCAGGAAACAATCATGCCAGTTTGGATTTCTACTTCTTTAGCTAACTGCAGTGAACTTGCATGGTGATTTTTCTTCAACGCTTCTCATCAGAAGACACTCCTGTCGAGGTGTTAACATCCGTGGATGGCTTGGATGTCTCTTTGATATAGTGGCAGTTCCATTGTTAACTTTTTGTATCACTTTTGCTACAGTATTCTGACAAGTAAAGCTTTGCTGATCTTCTTGTAGCCTTCACCTTTCTTGTGTAAAGAAATTATTTTCTTTATCAGGCCATGTGACGTTTCTCTTCCATGTGGTGCCATTGCTGACAGCATGAAATGGGAAAGGGTTTTCGTTGTTAAGTAACGCACTTTTATAATCAACTGTCGGCTGGAGACCTGTTTAATGAATAATTAGGATGTTGTCGTCTAAAATTTTACTTTGCTCCTAAGACTTTCGTTGGGGTTTTTGCAACATGGTCTTGAATGAATTTGTTAGGAAAAATACTTTTTTTTGTGTGCAAATAAACAAATCTTGTTTGCAAAGTATTTTGTAGTATAGTGTCCCATAGAAAATGTTGATTCTGAAAGGAAGTAGAGGTTTTCTGACAAATCTGTTGGGGTGTACTCATTTATGCTGAACACTGTATATTTATATATACAATGTGTGTGTGTATATATATATATATATATATATATATATATATATATATATATATATATATATATATATATATATATATATATATATATATATATCTATATATATATATATATTATCTATATATATATATATATATATATATATATATATCTATCTATCTACACTTGCCAAACTTTTAATGTCATTGAACTAGATAGGATAGTATCAACATTTGGCCAGTGTCTACAACCACCCTGTCCAGCTTCTGTCTAACTGGCATGCTGGAAATCCAGAGCAGCCCACTGGCATTGAATCAGTTTTCGCAGGAAATGGCTGCAAGTACTGATCGGTGTATCCTAGCAGGTGGGCAGTCCCCCTTTCTGAACACAATAGCACAGCAAGAGAAATCTCTGTACTTACACTGCTTGTGTTAGTACAGTGATCTGTTAGTTTTCATCCCCAGCAGGCTGAACGAATAAAAACTTATAGCGTGTACACCGCATTACGCATATAATGAAAGATTCACCTGAAAAAAGTAGAACTAAAATAGTTTTTTACCAGTCGTATTTGCATGCCCAAAATGAAAAGCAAAACACATGCATCTAATTAAAGGTAATTATTAACAAAACGTTAGTTGTCTGATGTGACTTGTCTTTTGTACAAAGGGCCATAGAAGTTTCATTACCTGTCTTGAAAAGGTAAGTGCTTTGGATAACATCTGCTCTTTTGTAAAGATTAGGTTTTTTTTTTTTTTTTGTGTTCACACTTAAACATGCTTACACCTCAAATACTTTGCATGTGCTGCTATAATCTGTGACTTATCTTGTGCCTGAGTTAAAGCTGTTTGCTTTTCTTTGTTGATAGGAGACATACACAGAGATAGCCGGAATGCAGAGGTTTGGGGCATTCTACATGGATTACCTGTACACAATGGAGTGTACTAGTGGCAAAGGTAAAAGTTTATTTCACTTTTGTTTGCCATTTGTTCAGAAACAAACTCATCTCATACAGCCACCATCAGACTGAACGAAAGAAAATGAACAGATTTCTCCCATCCACACATTCTTGGTGGATGAGGGAATCCCTCCCTCTGAGCTATGGTATTGTATAGTCAGAGTACACTCATCTGCACCGCTGTCTATAGCCTGCGGCACTGATCAAGCTTAAGTATACCAACATAAATGGTTGTACAGAAGTTGATAGAGAGATCGACTTGTGTACAGCTAGCCTGCCCATAGATTGATTGAAATTTGTCCAGACCCTGCTTATCCAGCCAAATTGCGATCAATGTATGGCTGGCTTAAGCTGTTCTGGGCAAAACTTTTACAGGTTTGATAAACTTCCCAAGTGTTATATTAACAGGACCCATTGCCTGGTCAGAGCAGGTAGTCCGCTCAGTGAGAGCAGTGGATGACAAAATGTATGCCTTTGTTCAGTCGCATCAATGTGTCACCAGGGTGCACCACGATGATTGGCTGATGGTGATGTAGAGAGCTGTTGATAGGCTTGTTTTTTTATTTTTGTGTAGAAATGGCCTTAATTCGCAACTGCTCACAAATCATTTTTTTTTTTCATTTGCGTGCTTCCTGTCGGCATTCCTGATGCACATATTAGCTTAAATTTATAGCTCAGCCCTGTAAATGACAGTGTGTTCTGTAGGGCTAGGCTTTTGGTTTAAAAGCCAGGAACTGCTATACCTAGGTATTGTTCTGTGTATAGTACGTGCAAAATCTGGTACAGACCATCTCTTGCATGACCAAGGAACAAGTGTGATTAATTAAAAAAAAATTGTATTGGGTAAACAGTACAGATTGAGCTTCTGAAGTAGATGTATTTCTGCTTATATACTGAGAGCATTCTTTTATTGCTTCTCTAGAAACGTGCTGCAGTGCAGGTTATCTAGATAAATGTAGGAAAGAACATCCCATGTTAATCAGCTTTCCTGCTACAAATGTCATTATGTCCAATGGTCAACTGCTCTTAAATTTTGGAATTATTTTTGTTCCACTTTGCTTTTCTTTATTTAGTCTGCTTTCTGTTGGCCTCTTGAATTTAAAAAAGTTTTCTACAAGAAAAATATTCCTCCTGATGCAATCGGTTAGATTTTCTTATTTAATATGAATATTCTTTCATAATTCAGATTTTGCTTTACCAAGTTCTATTTTGATAAATTAAAGTATAAAGCAGTGTAAAATGTCTGATTTTAGTAAGAGGCATATTTTTAACATGCCTAAAGAGGAAAATAGTATCTGAACCATGCAGTAACCATTGAACCATGCAGTAACCATTTTTTTTCCTCTGAAGGGTCTGTAAGCCAGCAAGAATTCCCCACATTGAAGCCAGAAGAGATCAGCAATATGAAAGAGATGTCCATAAAGAGGCTTGTGATTGGTCCTATCGACTTAAGACTTGACAGCAGCTCAGTGCATAGGATCATGAAGATGGTGGCATGCTCCTTCGATCATGAATATGAGGCTTACAGCTGTTCCCGCCCTGGTATTTTCCTTTTATTTTTCAACAGACTTGATTTATTCATATTAGTCAACATTTTTGAACATATAACATTTCAACAGTGGGATACTAAAACTGCTATACAGAAATATGCTTGCCAAATATTTTGGGTGACATCCCAAACGGCTAGTTTGCTCAATTGCATCCTCTGTTAAACTGGTTTGGGAATGGTTATTGCTGACAAATTTATTGAAAGGTTTGAGAACTGGGCTGTCATCCTGATCTTAGCTTTGTTACCTGATGATTCACTGGCCTGGAATAAATACATTCAGCCAGAGATGTCTGTAAACTCTAAATTACTATCCTGCATATTTTTTCCAGATAGTAAAGCCAGGATTGAAATTATAGTGCAAAGCATACACCTTTAAAAACAAGTCAGTGGCAACAGCTTCCTATTTTTTGTTCATTATAACTTTTACAGTTGTCTTTTGAAGTTCTACTATGACTACAGAATATGAGGCTGTGTGAAGAATTCCTGACTGTAATTGCCTGAATTCAGTAGAGTTTCAATATAGGTTATACGGAGAGAGTGTGTGGGGGGTGCATCTCTATGGACAAATAGAGCTATAACTCTACAGTACAGCTATGCATTTTCTGACTACCAATGTCTAAGACTGTGTTTCTGTGTTCTGAGTCTGATAGACAGTCCTAAAAGGATTCACAGGGTTGCAAGGGGGCCATACAGCATACATAACCTCTGCAAAATTTTCTCTAGTAACCACAGCTGCTGCATACAGCTACCCATAGACAGCAGTTACAAGATGGGGCTGTATGCTGTGTATGTACTGGTAGTCGTGTAAAGCACACACACAGACGTGCTATTAGCACAGTCACTCTCTATATCATACTTACAGCTGCATATTGTAATTGCTGGAATCTAAATATGAAAGCGCCAACCTATAAATGTGCAAATAGATATGACAGTATAATGACACATGATGGAAATAAATCAAGGCAGCTGCCCCTTTTAAGTGTAGCCAACACTTATAATCTGTAAGAGAATTTATGTAAAGAGAAGGTGCTAGCCCTTTAAATCTATGTGCAAAAATTACATGTAATTGTATATGAAACATGAATAATTTCACATTACAATATATCCGAAAATAATTATTCAAATGTCTACATCAGATAAAAAGAATCACAAATCATCAATATAATGTGAAAAGAAAAGTAACAAATTCTTCTTCAAAACGAACCAAATGTGCTCCAGCACGTGATCAGCTGAATTGCCAACTCACCAAATCAAAGCGGCCACAAAAGCAGCTAACAAGCAAGATGGATGATGTCCTGTGTCTACGGAATTATCTCTTCTCTATAAGGATACCCAAACCATTCCGCACATAAATATCATGTATGGAAGATCCTCATAAGCCCAAAGATAAATGAAGGGAAAACCCAAAGATAATGTAACACAGTGCACTAATTTTTTTCAGAATTGGGAAAATGAAAAGATCGCTATGCACTCACATGATTTAGGTGCCAAAGGGGGCACCAACAAAAACCGCTTACTAGGGGGATCCTTTCCCTCACACCACCGCTCTTATGTTCAGAGGTGGCGTGTGTGTTCCATAGACCGTATATGATGTAGGAGTGAAAACCAGGCTGTTTTTATTTGATGTGGATATTTGAATAATTATTATTGGATATATTTTTAAATTTTCTTACACATTTTAATTTCTATCTAGTGACAACAGCTGTGGGTCCTGGGTATATTTTTGAAGAGATTCTGGGTGCTCATGTATGCTGTGCGTGAGCCCTAACACATTGAGATGAACTGAACTTGCCTTTCATGCAGAAAATCCCTAAAACAGAACAGGCTCCTATGTGACAGTCTAAAAAGGTCCCAAATCCAGTTACTATGTGGTAAACCCAAGTTTTATTAAGTACTTCCTTACCTCCTCTGAGCAAGACAACCCCTTTTTCATTTGTGACTTACACACTACCCCTCACTGACTCTGCAGCGCACAATGGAAGAGTTTCGGCAGCAGAGACAGTGTTGCCAATCCAGAAGGTAGTGGGCAGTGCTAGGTGTGGCCTGGCTTACAAGACACAGCCTTGAGAACTGGTAGTGATGATGCTGATAGCCACACCCCCCTTCAACTTCTCTAACTGTAGTACAACCAGCCTACATGATTGACAACTTTGCTTTAAGCTCATAAGCAGTGAAGCAGCGTTGTTACCCCACCACAGGAAGCTGCATTAGGTGGACTTCCACCAGAATTAACTGTTATTATTGAGGCTTTGCGGGGGGGAATAAGTGAAAGCTGTAAATAATTTTGCACTTACAATAAAGTGTTACTGCATGTATTTGTTTTTTAATGGAAGGCCATAATTCTACTTTAAACACAAGAAGAAATGAGCTCTGACAATTGTGCCTTGCAGTCTACTTTCAAATGAGATGTGCACTTGTTTTAAAAAACTGTTTTGCAAAAAAAAAAAAAGCAAGCAAAATTTGATTATAAATTACCCGCTAACAACAGTGTTATATTTTTTTTCTTCAGCTTCTCTTGAAGAATGTAAGACTTTACCTAGTCCAGAAGAGGTGGCAGCACTGGAGGAATACATACCAACACGACTAACCTGCGTCACATTGCTGAAGTGTTCCATCACGGTCACCATGGCTGAATTCAACCTACTTGGGCATTTGCTGTCTGTTATAATGGGGCATAAGGTATGAACCTTATCTTTGTAAAGCAAGTGTAGGCATTCTGTGGACTATTTGTGAAACTACAGAACCCAACATACATTAAGCTTTATAGGTCCACATCATATAAGCCACAGGTCAAAAATGTCTCTGCCAAAGTTGGAGTTTTCCACTGTTTGTTTCTTAGTGTGTCATTCTTCTGCCTACATTCAGCAAGATCATTATTTAAACATGTTAATATTTTCATCTAGTAAAAATAAAACTCCTTTTTCATCTTTTGTAATGGGAACCAATCTTCTTTAATAAAATTCCATTGGGTGACTTAGGGAGAAAGTGTAGCAACACTTAGCATTATACGTAGAAGTCTTGGCAGACACTGTATTCAATAGTTTATGTTAATAGATACATTTTGGATTTACTTTTCTCCTAATTGCATCTAATTATTTTTCTCCCAAAATCTCCAGAGCCAGGGTCATAAAATTACTCTTGTTCGGTAGTTGTGAGTTTGACGTAAGAAGATAATTACAGACCTATTTGCAAGCAGCAGCTGCTTGACAATGAGAATCTGTATTTCATCACGATTATGTAATTTGCAATAAAATTCTGTGATTTTCATGGAGTTACTGCAATCTGTATCCTTTCACTTTTAAATATGGCTGCATTCCTCGAGTTTGTAATGCTAATGGACACCTGCTCTATACTGTATTGGCTAGTTATTGTCATGTATTACCTGAAAAGTTGAAGTGGAATGTCTTCAACTCACAGAGTTGCTAATTTTAATCACATAGTCTATAACTCTTTTCCAGCTGGGTATCATCAGTGGGTTGCAGTTCAAATATATTGTTACCTTAGGGACCACTCATGATTTGAACTAGTATGTAAGAATGCTTCCATAGCAGGTACAGTGAGGTCATATGCTATATTGAACATCTGGAAATATTAAGGAAGGGTTGCTAAAATTGCTTGCAGGTCACAAAAAAAGGTTTATTTATTTGAATGCATCCCTGTAGGTATAACGTTTAGGCAGTGATAAAGGGTTTGAAGAATAAGACAGAGTCTGATGGTGTGAGGTGGGGACTTCTGCTTGTTGGGTGCAGCTTGAGAAAATTCAATAGAGTAGTGGTAATGGAAGAAGTGGTGAGGCACGGGTCATTTTCTGGGTGGTTCAGAAATTTAGGAGGTATGTGCAGAGATCTACAGATAAGAATTTAAATTTGCAAGGAGTGTTAGCCAAAGTGAAACAGCAGTAAAATAGTGTCCAGCAAGGTTGATTAACCACTTGCCTACCGGGCACTTATACCCCCTTCTTTACCAGGCCAATTTTCAGCTTTCAGCGCTGTCGCACTTTGATTGACAATTGTGCGATCATGCAAGATTATACCGATATGAAATTTTTATCATTTTTTTCTCACAAATAGAGCTTTCTTTTGGTATTTAATCGCCGCTGGGCGCTTTACTTTTTGCGCTATAAACAAAAAGTGTGCAAAAAATTTAAAAAAAAAAACAGAAAACGTTTCTTTGTTTCTATTATAAAATTTTTCAAACAGGTAATTTTTCTCCTTCACTGATGTGCGTTGATGAGGCAGCATTGATGGGCACTGATGGGCACTGATAGGCAGCACTGAAGGGCAATGATAGGCAGCACTAATGAGGTGGCACGGATAGGCGGCACTGATAGGCAGCACTAATGAGGTGGCACGGATAGGCGGCACTGATGATGGGTACTGATAGACAGCACTGATAGGTGGCACTGACTGGCATCACTGCTGGGCACTGACTGGCGGCACTGCTAGGCATTGACTGGCACAACCGCTGGGCACTGACTGGTGGCAGCACTGCTGGGCTGCATTGATGGGCACTGGTGGATGGCACTGGTGGGCACAGGTGGGTGGCACAGGTGGGTGGCACTGCTGGGCACAGGTGGGTGGCACTGCTGGGCACAGGAAGGTGGCACTTCTGGGCACAGGTGGGTGGCACTGCTGGGCACAGGTGGGTGGAGCTAGTGGGCGGCACTGCTGGGCACAGGTGGGCGGAACTGGTGGGTGGCGCTGCTGGGCACCGATCATCAGGCCACTAATCATCAGTGCCCTGATGATCGGTGCCGATCCCTCCTCTGACAACTGCCGGTTCTCTGCAGTACTTTCCTCACACTCTCACAGCGTGAGGAAAGTGCAGCCGAGAACCGGCAATTGCATTTCCCGGTGATCAGCGTGTCATTGGACACGGCTGATCATGTGGTAAAAGGCCGCTATGATTGGTCTTTTACCACATCACATGATCAGCTGTGTCTGGAGATCTCCAGATGCGCAGGCCTCCGGGGGTGCGCAGGAGAGCGCGTTCTGGAAGGACGTCATATGACGCTCTCCCAGAACTAGCCAGCCACAGTGTAGCCGTCATTCGGCTATCTGCGGTTGGCAAGTAGTTAACAGTAGTTGTTTAGGTAGGAAATATTCTAATGCTTATGCATATGAACATGTTCTGGATTACATTGCAGGTAAGATATGGCAATATTTTGTAAACCTGTACTGAACTGAAATAGTCCCTAGGTCTTGTTTACTCTGGATGTAACTTGCATGCCCTGTATCATTCAACTTAAAAGGCATTTTGCTGGACGCAATGTGATGTTGTTTTCAATGTCTTCATTTACATGACTTGTTTGGTAAACTGAACCCTTTGATTTCCAGAGACCCAGGCCAAATTTAGCTTCTTTTGCTCCAGTCAACTATAAATGCATGACTAATTTGCCAGCCTTAATAACATAGCAAGTACACTGTGCGCACAATTATTAAGCAAGTGAGTATTTTGACCAAATCATCATTTTTATGCATATTATCCAACTCCAAGCTTTATCAACTTGAATGCTTATTGGATTTAAGCCTATCAGGTGTTGTGTATTTATATCATGAGGGATGGTGTGGCTTAAGGAGATCAACACCCTATATCATGTTGTGCATAATTATTAGGAAGCTTCTTTTCCTCAGGCAAAATGGGCCAAAACAGAGATTTAACTGACTATGGAAAGTTAGAAATTGTAAAAAGTATTTCAAAGGGATGCAGCACTCTTGAAATTGCTAAGGGTGTTATTACAGAAGCATCAAACATTTAGTTGCAAATAGTCAACAGGGTTGGAAGAAACGTGTTGAGGAAAAAGATTTAAGAAGAATCAAACCTGAAGCTATCAGGAACCCATTATCCTCCAGTGCTGTCATATTCCAGAACTGAAACCTACCTGGAGTGCCCAGAGGTCCAAGGTGTTCAGTGCTTAGAGACATGGCGGAAACCTGACCACAACTGAACTAGACACATACTGTATTTTTCACTCCATAAAACGCACCTGATCATAAGTTGCACCTAGGTTTTAGAGGAGGAAAACAAGAAAAAAATATTCTGAACCAATGGACTGCAGACATAGTACAGGAAATGACCAGGGACTGCAGACATAGTACAGGAGATGGCCAGAGACTGCAGACATAGTACAGGAGATGGCCAGAGACTGCGGACATACTAGAGGAGATGGCCAGAGACTGCGGACATACTTCAGGAGACAACCAGAGACTGCGGACATACTTCAGGAGACAACCAGAGACTGCGGACATACTTCAGGAGACAACCAGAGACTGCGGACATACTTCAGGAGACAACCAGAGACTGCGGACATACTTCAGGAGACAACCAGAGACTGCAGACATACTTCAGGAGACGACGAGAGACTGCGGACACAGTACAGAATATGACCAGAGACTGCGGATACAGTACAGGAGATGACCAGAGACTGCAGACACAGTACAGGAGATGACCAGAGACTGCGGACACACTACAGGAGATGACCAGAGACTGCGGACACAGTACAGGGGATGACCAGAGACTGCGGACACAGTACAGGGGATGACCAGAGACTGCGGACACAGTACAGGGGATGACCAGAGACTGCGGACACAGTACAGGGGATGACCAGAGACTGCGGACACAGTACAGGGGATGACCAGAGACTGCGGACACAGTACAGGGGATGGCCAGAGACTGCGGACACAGTACAGGTGATGACCAGAGACTGCGGACACAGTACAGGAGATGACCAGAGACTGCGGACACAGTACAGGGGATGACCAGAGACTGCAGACCTTTGGGGAGGCGGGGGAGTGGGTACCCGAATTTGACAGGTACCCGCTTCTACTTCCTCCCTCCCCATCTTCTGGGACACGTGACAGGTCCCAGAAGACTGTCGGACCATTCACAAAGCGCAGCGCTTCTCACGCAGGGGCACCCGGCTGTGAAGCCGCAAGCTGTCACAGCCGGGTGCCCACACTATAGATGGCCACGCCGGGAGAGAAGACCGTGAGGACACCGCTGGACCGAGGAACAGGTAAGGTTCTTCTGCAGAGAAGAGCCGAGCGGCCGGCCCGGTATTCTGACACGGCGGCTGCGGGAATACCGGCCGGCCGCTCCATATTCGCTCCATATTCGCTCCATAAGGGAGCAAAAAATACAGTAAGTTAAATTGTCAAGACTGGGCCAAGAAACGTCTGAAGACAGATTTTTCAAAGGTTTTATGGACTGATGAGATGAGAGTGATTCTTGATGGACCAGATGGATGGGCCCATGGCTGGATCAGTAATGGGCACAGAGCTCCACTTCGACTCAGGGTGGAGGTGAAGTACTAGTATGGGCTAGTATTATTAAGGATGAGCTAGCTGGACCATTTTGGATTGAAGATGGACTCAAAATCAACTCCCAAACCTACTGCCAGTTTTTAGAAGACACTTTCTTCAAGAAGTGGTACAGGAAAAAGTCTGCATCGTTCAAGAAAAGCATGATATTTATGCAGGACAACGTTCCATCGCATGCATCGAAGTACTCCACTGTGCGGCTAGCCAGTAAAGGCCTTAAAGTTGAAAGAATAATGTCATGGCCCCCTTCCTCACCTGACCTAAACCCTATTAAGAACTTGTGAACCTTTCTTAAATGGGAGATTTACGGTGAAGAAACACTATACTTCTCTTTGAACAGTGTCTGGGAGGCTGTGGTTGCTGCTGCACAAAAAGTTGATAGTCAACAGATCAAGAAACTGGCAGACTCCATGAATGGAGGGCTTATGCATGTTGTTGAAAAGAAGGGTGGCTATATTGGTCACATTTTTCTGAAATGTCAGAAATGTTTATTTGTAAATTTTGAGTTGTTTGTTTATTATTCTCACTTTATCAGATGAAAGTAAACAAGTGAGGTGGGAAAATTATCGTTTTTCATTTAGTTGCATAATAATTCTGTACACTAATAGTTGCCCAATAATTGTGCACAAGTAGGTTTTCTCCTAAGAAAGCCAAAACCTCACTTTTACTTCCTTAAATATTCAGGTTTTCGTCTTATTAACATTTAGGATTGACCGAGAGCACTGTAGTTGTCCAATACTGAAATTAATCCTCAAAAGTGCAACTTGACTAATAATTGTGCACAGAGTGTATATGATCTAGAACCATTCTGATTGATTCTGTTCATCAGCCAGGAGCAAAGCTGTCAGTGACAGCTAAGCAAAGCTAAGCAAGAGCCGAGCAAAGTTTTAATGGGGGAGTGTTTTATTTAACCCATCTGTGGCATGCTGAGGAATGCTGATATACATATTGCAGATGAGAATGGGTTTATGCATCCAGAACAGCAGTGTGCAAGATATTTTCACAGTACAGTGCATCACTGGCCAAGTGATCCATGAAAAAAATGATTACAATAAACTTAGTGGTTCTAAATGCAGAACATTTTTGTTTACCTTAAAGCATTCTATGCATTAAGGTAAAAACCTTCTGCATGCAGCTCCCAGCCCCCCTTCACACTTACCTGAGCCCATTCTCAATCCAGAGATGTGCACGATAGTAGGCTCTCTCTCAATTCTCTCTCTCTCTCCTCAGTGGCTTAGAGGTGGCTACGGGAGCCATTGGCTCCTGCTGCTGTCAATCACAGCCAGCTTGGAGGGAGCGAAGGTGGGTCCAGCTATGCCTTCTATGTCAATGGACTCACAGAGTGAGGCTTTGGAACAAGCCTGCACGAGTGCCTCCATACCAAGTGGCTTGCTGTGGGGGCACTTCGTGGGGGAGGAGCAAGGAACATTGGTGGGAGACATGAGAAGAGGAAGATCATTGCACAGAGCAGGTAACTGTGATATGTTATTTAACTCCTAGATTGTAAGCTTGAAAGAGCAGGGCCCTCGTACCCCTCGTGTATTGTATTGTTACTGTATTGTCCCATGTACTGTCCCCCCACTTTAATGTACAGCGCTGAGCAAACCTTTTGGCGCTATATAAACACTGTATAATAATAAAGGAAAAAAATAAGCATTTACAATCACATTAATTTTACCATTTGGGGTTTGTGGTAGAATTTGAGAAAAACTATAATCCGTTTTATTTATGTTTACAATTGAATCTTTCTAAATTCCATTGGGTATTTATAAAGTCCACTTGTGCCTCCTATAAGGTAACTTATAAAGATTTTCATGTAATTATTCACCCCAAATAGATCCTTCGGTATCACTCTGGTTTTATTCATATACTTCATGGCATGTGGGCAGGTTGATTAAGCCTGACAAGCCATGAGGCAAAACTACATAATTCATCCCCATCTCCCTCTGCTTCTGGGCATACTCAAAATATAATAATTTCTTTAGGTTGATTCTTTTTTTCCCCTCTTTCTTTTCCTGTAGTATTGATTTTCCTTGAAGCTGACATTAGTCTTCCAAATGTATTAAAGTAAACATGCACTCTGCCCACATAGGGTCTGGAAATATTTGTGTGGTATAAGAATTTCTCCTGCACCAAGCCCTACCTGCTCAAGGTCTTATATTACTTAAGAGGCAGTAAGGGGCAGCAAGGAACCACACAGTAAACCCTCTATGTGCAATTATACAGTATATGGTATCTCCAGGACACAGTGCGGATCTGCAAGACCATATGTTTAAAAAAAAATTATAGGGCTTACACGGAAATTCTGATATGCTGTATATTTTTAGAAAGCAATAATGAAAAAGAAAAATATCTGACTGTTATGCAGCTGCAGTGGATATAAAAGTCTACACACCCCTGTTAAAATGTCCGGTTTCTGTGATGTAAAAAAAAATGAGACAAAGATAAATCATTTGAGGACTTTTTCCACCTTTTTAATGTGACCTATAAACTGTACAACTCAGTTGAACAACAAATTGAAATCGTTTAGGTGGAGGGAAGTAAAAATAAAAAACTAAAGTAATATGGTTATTTATGTATTTCAGGTACTTATATAGCGCCATCAATTTATGCAGCGCGTTATATATATATTGTACATTCACATCAGTCCCTAACCCTCAAGGAGCGTATGGTTGCATAAGTGTGCACACCCTTAAACTAATACTTTGTTGAAGCACCATTTGATTTTATTACAGTATTCAGCCTTTTTAGGTATAAGTCTATCAGCATGGCACATCTTGACTTGGCAATATTTGCCCACTCTTCCTTGCAAAAACACTCCAAATCTGTCAGATTACGTGGGCATCTCCTGTGCACAGCCCTCTTCAGATCACCCCATAGATTTTTGATCGGATTCAGGTCTGGGCTCTGGCTGGGCCATTCCAAAACTTTAATTTTCTTCTGGCGAAGCCATTCCTTTGTTGATTTGGATGTATGCTTTGGGTTGTTGTGATGCTGAAAGATGAAGTTCCTCTTCATGTTCAGCTTTCTAACAGAAGCCTAAATGTCTTAAATGTACCAGTATTGAATGGTATTTGGAACTATTCACAATTCCCTCTACCTTGACTAATGCAGGCCATAGATGGGTCGAAAATCGGCCGATTTTTCGGCCGAAAATAAAATCGGCCGATTTTCGGATAGTTAGTGGGCGATTTGGTCAGCCGTTTTTCGGTATTTTGGCCGGTTTTTTTTTTTTCGGTAAAGTTGGAAAAAAATCGGCCGATTTTCGCGGCAATTAGTGGGCAAATCGGCCGATTTTTTACCGATAAAAAATCTGCGCATGAGCAGTGACCTGCAAGAGGAAGACAAAAAGAAGAAAAAGAAGAAGAGGAAGAGGAAGAGGAAGAGGATGAAGAGGAAGAGGATGAAGAGGAAGAGGATGAAGAAGAAGAGGATGAAGAAGAGGATGAAGAAGAGGATGAAGAAGAGGATGAAGAAGAGGATGAAGAAGAAAGAAGAGGATGAAGAAGAAGAGGATGAAGAAGAAGAGGATGAAGAAGAAGAGAGAAGAAGAAGAAGAGGAAGAAGAAGAAGAGGAAGAAGAAGAGGATGAAGGAAGATGCTGATGAAGAAGAGGATGAGGATGAAGAAGAAGAAGAGGAGGATGAAGATGAGATGAGGATGAGAAGATGAGGATGATGAAGAAGAAGAAGATGAGGATGAGGAAGAAGAGGATGAGGAGGATGAGGATGAGGAAGAAGAACAAGAAGGACGAGGAGGAGGAGGATGAGGAGGAGGATGATGAGGAGGAGGATGATGATGAGGAGGATGATGATGAGGAGGAGGAGGAGAGATGAGGATGAGAGGAGGAGGAGGAGGAGGAGGAGGAGGAGGAGGAGGAGGAGGATGATGAGGAGGAGGATGATGATGATGATGATGAGGAGGATGAGGAGGATGAGGAGGAGAGGATGAGAGGAGGATGAGGAGGATGATGATGAGGAGGATGATGAGAGAGGAGAAGATGATGAGGATGAGGAGGAGGAGGATGATGAGGATGAGGATGAAGAAGAGGATGAGGATGAAAGAAGAAGATGAGGATGAAGAAGATGAGGATGATGAAGAAGATGAAGATGAGGATGAAGATGAAGATGAGGATGATGAAGATGAGGATGATGAAGATGAGGAGAAGATGAGGATGAGGAAGAAGAGATGAGGAGGATGAGGATGAGGAAGAAGAACAAGAAGGACGAGGAGGAGGAGGATGAGGAGGAGGATGATGATGAGGAGGATGAGGATGATGAGGATGAGGATGATGAGGATGATGAGGATGAGATGAGAGGAGAAAGAGGATGATGAGGATGAGGATGAGGAGAGAGGAGGAGAGAGGAGGAGGAGGAGGAGAGGATGATGAGGAGGATGATGATGATGATGATGAGGAGGATGAGGATGAGAGGAGGATGAGGAGGATGATGATGAGGAGGATGATGAGGAGGAGGAGATGATGAGGAGGAGGAGGAGATGAGGAGGAGGGAGGATGGATGAGGAGGAGGATGATGATGATGATGAGGAGGAGGAGGATGATGAGGATGAGGATGATGAGGAGGAGGATGATGAGAGGGATGGAGGAGGAGGATGATGAGGATGAT